TTCGTTCAGGAACCATTGGTCCATCTCTTTGTCTTATTTTGTTGAATAATTTGGGCCAGATTGTGGTTCCGTATTTAATTTTGAAAACTCTATTGTTTGTTCATTGTAGTTTTTGAGAGTGAACCTCCATAGATTTCAGATTGCGTTTATTGTCTCCCAGACCCAGGACCTCACCGCATAAGAGCTGGCCAGGGTGTCCTTAGGAGACAGCGGTGTAACTCTGGTTATACCTGGCGCCCAATAATTTAGTATTTCATTAATTATTTCTCGCGGTGCCATTTATTTGTGCGTCACTGTTAAAAAGTGTCGTCACAATATACATATAAATATATATATTCATACATATCCATACGTCTGCCATCCATGGTTTCAACTACAAAGAACGAGTTTTCTAATCATGGAGATCATATATTTTTTGACTACTATGGAGGATACGGGATTGCTGAGTTGACTTAGGGATAGGTTATATATTTTCTTACATACATATATTTTTTGAGCGGCATATGTCTAAATTGTAATATCTGGACCATGCGTAATGATTAATGTATGAGTGTGTATGTGAGTGATTGTTGGAGTAAATACCTATAGTTATTAGTCTAATCCGGTCAAGCGATTATTGTGTTTCGTTTCTTATTCTTGTTTTATATACAGTTTCAGCGATTCAAGATTTCGTGCTCTATTATTATTATATGATACACTAGTGTATACTGTGACGTGATTTTTCGAATCACGGTCCCAAGGCGGCTCCAGTTATCGATACAGATGACGTTCTCGATTTCTGGTTCCCTTCGGGTCGCCACCCTGCTCAGAAGCTACGCTCTCGGGTTGATTCGTACAGTTATGTCAAGGCTCTCGTAAGATTGTGTGATTGTTTAATTGAGGTCGAGGTGCTCGAATCTGCCGTGGGGAGATAGTCTCGACGTACCGAGTTGCCCGGCAGAGGAGAGTACCCGACGGAGACGTCTCCACGGACCGGCAGAAGCCCGGGTGAGATACCGGCGCCCCGCTGGAGATGGGCAAAGGGCTGTAGAGCGGGCGGAGGAAGTTTTGATATGGTTAAGGGCAGGAGAGGAACCTCCTGCCCGAGTTAAGGATGTGGTGCCCAGCTGTCGCCCGATGCCCTGGGGAAGCGGCCGTGGAGGATCTCCAAAAATCACGTACCGATTCGCTAAGGAACGCTCTCGATTTGGTTTAAAAGGACGACTCGAAGGAGATAGAAGAATTATCGGTTATAAGGCACTCGACCAATCAGAATGATTAGTTCTCGGATTTGGCTATTGTCAAAGCAAGTTGGGCCTGTTCCATCCCAACTCCCAGTTTATACCGGCTCGTCAGTTCCCGGTGAAAAAAGAATTGGCTGGCGCCCGCCTGGCTTGCGGATGCACGAACGACGGATGGACGGCCGAAGGTAACGTAGGTTGGTTCTCGCAGATATTCGTTCCAGTATGTTTTGCTATCGGTGTCGGGTCAAGTTAAAGAAATACGTTACAATACATATATTGTCGAATTCTCTGAAATTGTGCTAGTTACATTGATTTTGAAATGTTCAACAAAGATACGGAGTAATCTCAGAATATAATAAAAATCTATACTTGTAACAAAATTATATTGAAATTTACAAGTACTAGCGCAATAAATATTTAAGTGAAACTGCCTATTTACTTAACTCAAATATATAAATAACATGGCTATATGTTTTTAATTTCATTAACATGTTTATTTCCAACTTAACTATCAGGATACTTGACAGCCCGTAGAACAATGTCGCAACTGTTGCATTACAACAACATTTACAGTAAATAAGAAGCATGTGTAAGAATTTGGCTATACTAAAAAATATTTTATAAGAAAGATGATGACACTCCTCACCGCTTTGCTAATAATGACTGGACAGAGTAGATTACTAGGGTGTGAAACTTACCATCTCACAGAAATATGTAAATAAAATTAAGAGGGTCGTAAAAAAAATGACCCATTTACTTCGCTGCATTGCATCGAGAAACCGCACGTAAGAATTTCACTTAATTTACACGGGGGCGTAATGATTGATATTTGAGTTTTTGCTCACACTGAACAGATGAAATGAATTAAACTGTATATGAATCGTTTTATTCAAGACGAAACCATTTTTTCCTTTAATTTATGAACAAAAAGTTCATCGTGCACGTGTACGCTTTTTAAACACTATTTGTTGACTATCATTAAGGGGAGCATACTATTTAGAATTTTCAAAAAATCAGTTTTTTTGTTTTTCATATTTCGAAAGTATAATATATTAAGAATGTACTGGAAAAAGGACAAATCGAAATATTAAATATTTATGGAGTTATTGCACATAGTCGAGAGCGCCGGGGTCCGCATACCGTAAACTAGCGAGTCTGGTAGCCGGAGCGCTTGGGGTGGAGCAACGTTTCTTTCACAATATCTTGGTATAATTCTTTGAAGATTTTACTCCATTACTTGGCAGCGACATTAAACACCATCTTCTAACAATTTATGAAGATTTATCTAGGGTTGATTTATTGGAAAGATGCTTGGGTGGCCATACCCAGAATGACAACGAAAGTTTCAACGCGACAGTTTGGCGATTATCTCCAAAGCACTTACATTCTGGATTAAAATCATTGAAATATCAGCCTATATTTCTGCTGGGATATTTAATGAAGGCTACACCTCCACTCTTAGAATTATGAACAATTTAGATATAATTGTTGGCACCTATTTGAAAGTTTTCGTCGAAAACATCGTTGAGGCACGAGTAGCGAAGCAGAACAAGATGACGCTTTCTGAAACTAAAGCAGCTCGTATAGTCAGAAAACAACAACAAATGGAATCAGCTTTTTGAAGAGGCTGAAGGATTATTATATGCGTCTGGAATCGCTGATTGATCGGTAAGTCAGTAAGACTAATAGTTTTATCGTATTGAAACTTTAAACGCGATTATCTCGAAACTAAATTTTCAAAAACTGCTCATGTTGTAACTCAAAAAGTTATTGGTCGATCTGGCTGAATTTTTGGGAGGTGATTCTCTATAATATTATCGGAAGAACAGACCTAACGTTTTAAAGATATCGCGTAAATAAAATATTTGTTTGGGGTAAAAACTGTCGAAAAAATGGTCGAAAATTCGAACAGTTTTTTCAACAGCCTATCATATTTTAATTTTATACTTTTTCATTGTTTTTTAGATTAGTCCTTCCCCTTTACATGTCAGTAATCGAAAAATACTTGTTTTTTTGGTTTCAGATCATTACAAAGAACGTGACAACTGCAGCACTTTTCAGTGTCACGCAAAACACGCCTGGCCAAATAATACACAGAGCCGCCATTTTCTTTCATAACAAAAAAAAATATTTTTTTATGCTTTAAAGGTGGAATAAAATGATACCACAATTTTAAAATGATACGATTATTTTATCACCTTCAAAAAAATTCATGAAAAATGCCTCATTTTCGGCCGTCTAAATAGTATACTCCCTTTAACAACGAAATTATACGTCTTAAAATTTGATGGTGCGAATTCCGTTATTTTCGATGATGGCTTAAATATTTCCGAGACCCCTTAATATCTCAAAAACTAGATAATGAAATCATAGAGTTTTTAAAGTCAAAATAGGAAAAATTGGAAAACTTCTTATTATTAAGAGGTCATTTAATTACTCAGAATGCATCTTTATAGACACATAACTTTGATGCAATGAATTAAAATATGGTCTGTACTTCTATTTATAACATTGTATACTCACAGTAGTCCGCATCCTTATGTTGCACCGCATTATGCAATGCCAAAGCGAAATGGGTATGGTAGTTGACATAAGCGCTTTCCATTAAATCAAGTTCCTTCAAATTAGTGAATGTTGCAGAGGCATCACTCTTCCATTTATTTTGCACGTGAACGCACATGTAAAATAGCTAATACAAGAAAAATAATAAAACTATGCAGACAACACAGAGAGCCTTCTATATCAATAGTATCACCGCAATTTTCAGAAGTCTTCGTTAAGTACTTACATTATTTATTGTTACCATCAGGTCTCGAAATTCTAGCGTCAGAAAACAATGCACACGCATTTTCTGTAAGTATTTATTGTGAACTGAAAATCAAATTTGCTCAATCATTATTCAGCTTTTTGAAGAGGCTGAAGGATTATTATATGCGTCTGGAATCGCTGATTGATCGGTAAGTCAGTAAGACTAATAGTTTTATCGTATTGAAACTTTAAACGCGATTATCTCGAAACTAAATTTTCAAAAACTGCTCATGTTGTAACTCAAAAAGTTATTGGTCGATCTGGCTGAATTTTTGGGAGGTGATTCTCTATAATATTATCGGAAGAACAGACCTAACGTTTTAAAGATATCGCGTAAATAAAATATTTGTTTGGGGTAAAAACTGTCGAAAAAATGGTCGAAAATTCGAACAGTTTTTTCAACAGCCTATCATATTTTAATTTTATACTTTTTCATTGTTTTTTAGATTAGTCCTTCCCCTTTACATGTCAGTAATCGAAAAATACTTGTTTTTTTGGTTTCAGATCATTACAAAGAACGTGACAACTGCAGCACTTTTCAGTGTCACGCAAAACACGCCTGGCCAAATAATACACAGAGCCGCCATTTTCTTTCATAACAAAAAAAAATATTTTTTTATGCTTTAAAGGTGGAATAAAATGATACCACAATTTTAAAATGATACGATTATTTTATCACCTTCAAAAAAATTCATGAAAAATGCCTCATTTTCGGCCGTCTAAATAGTATACTCCCTTTAACAACGAAATTATACGTCTTAAAATTTGATGGTGCGAATTCCGTTATTTTCGATGATGGCTTAAATATTTCCGAGACCCCTTAATATCTCAAAAACTAGATAATGAAATCATAGAGTTTTTAAAGTCAAAATAGGAAAAATTGGAAAACTTCTTATTATTAAGAGGTCATTTAATTACTCAGAATGCATCTTTATAGACACATAACTTTGATGCAATGAATTAAAATATGGTCTGTACTTCTATTTATAACATTGTATACTCACAGTAGTCCGCATCCTTATGTTGCACCGCATTATGCAATGCCAAAGCGAAATGGGTATGGTAGTTGACATAAGCGCTTTCCATTAAATCAAGTTCCTTCAAATTAGTGAATGTTGCAGAGGCATCACTCTTCCATTTATTTTGCACGTGAACGCACATGTAAAATAGCTAATACAAGAAAAATAATAAAACTATGCAGACAACACAGAGAGCCTTCTATATCAATAGTATCACCGCAATTTTCAGAAGTCTTCGTTAAGTACTTACATTATTTATTGTTACCATCAGGTCTCGAAATTCTAGCGTCAGAAAACAATGCACACGCATTTTCTGTAAGTATTTATTGTGAACTGAAAATCAAATTTGCTCAATCATTATGATTCGAGAATTTTGTTTAGTGATATATACATGCATATATGAGCGATTCCATTAGACTTCAGCCACCCGTATTTTATTTGCTGTGCTACATGAATTCGGTCGTTTTTATTTTGAACACAGATATCCCCGAGACGGCGCATAGTATAAAAAATTTCTAAAAAATGAAAGTTTCGTGTTTTTTTAGTATCTACAATTGTTACGTATATCGACCTTCATTCCGAAACAGAAGAATAACGTAGCCGACAGGAAGCATAATTGCAGACTCAGCACGTTACGCAGTGCATTCCTAACGTCCTAACCGTACCTAGAGCATCAGCAAAAATCGACTATATAAGCAGCCAAAATCATGGCACAGAGGCTCAGAAAATCATTCAGTTTCACGCGTAAAAGATCGGACTGCACGTTGCCACTCGTGGCTCTAATCGTTAGAGTATTAGATTCAGTGTAATATTCGTAATCTGGCCTCGGTACGGATTCGTTATTACATACCCTAGGGAACAAGCTGGATCGGTTACCGGGCAAAATTGAGCTGCATAGACTAGTCTTTCCAAATATCGCATAGATTTGATAAATTTCTGTTCCACCAAATTTCTTCTTGCCTTAACCTCACACACAGTCAGGTATTGTTATCCAATATTTCTCATAATCGAAACACTGTACACGACAATTAATTGAAAACTTCTAAATTGGTTGTAACAATATATCGTAAATTCACATTTTACTCGCGTTTTAAATATCTATTACCCATCCTCAACATTTCAGAGAATATCTATCCACGTTGGAATAGCAAGGCGTGTTTCAACACCTTAAACGAGCAGCAAACCCACCATTGAGTGCATTCTTACCGCTCGGAATTCACTCAAATATTATTCACGTTACCTTCGGTCATTCCTTTTTTTTTGGTACTTTTAAATTTTTGTTATCAAATTTAAAGGCCTCGCTAGCCACTACGGCCTACGTAACAACAATAAAAGACATTTTTTTAATTTTTTGAATAATCTGAACCTGTTTTCAGAAAAAAAAAATACACAAATTCTTTTCCTGACCAAAGCCCCACCGATATCGGTGTTATGGAATTTTTTAATATTCTGTAGATAGAATATGAATTTTGTGTAAAATTAAAAATTGGGACATCCAGCCGTTTTTTAGTCACAACTTTTTTTAATTTATAAGAACACTCATTTTTTTTTTCTGATTAAATTATCTCTCTGTATTTTTCAGAGTTGAGACTATCTTTAACTGTTTGAGTGCCAAGGAGCGATTTGGCGCCTCTTATCTGTCGCTCGAACTTTACGGTTACCACGCCATTTTAGGTAAAAATAAAAGAAAACAGCACAATAGCGCGCCTTGGCATTTTGGAAAGGGAATAAGACATGCGCTAGCGCGCCGATTGGAATTTTTGGGGAGGGAATAAGACAAGCGAAAAAACGCTCTTTGGCACTTTTAGATGAGAAAACAGCAGACACGTGGCACTCAAACGGTTAAGGTTATAAATTTCAAGCTCGCATTACTTTTTTTTAAATTTATTAGAATTTTTTTTTTTTTAAGATTTTCAACAAAAATTAGTGTTGTATCCCACAGTCAAGTCTCACGATCACACCGAGAGGTGTTATGCCTCCAAGCCAATCTCAAAGTATCATTGGTCCTTATCTCAATACTAAGAACCACCTCGAACATAAAGAAGCTAGGAACCCTAGGTTCCTACGTTATCGTAGTTCTGAGAATTGCAAGTAACGTCGCCTTATAAGGGCATACACTAAAGAGTGAAAATACTTATGCAGCAACCCCGAAGGCACCAGCGTCGCGAGACGATGAGGTGCAGTCAGTCTGGTTAAAGTGAGTCGATGAGACGGACAAGGGAAAGAATTGTGAGTTCGCGAGACTTTAGTAGAGAGCAAGTGCTCGCCATTAGAAAAGAGCAAGTGCTCGTCATTAAAATAGGACAACTGTCCAGTTTAGCTTCAACATAGAACAGAGCAAGCGCTCGCCATTAGAATAGGACAAGTGTCCAGCTTAGCTTCCAACGTAGAATAGAGCAAGTCCTCGCCATTAGAATACGACAAGTGTTCCGCTTAGATTTCCACCAGATCAGGAAATCGCTCGAGATTGCGAATTGTACAGCAATCTGCAATAAACTGAAAACGGGGCAAGAGCCTGCCAGTTTGTTCTGTAGAAACGGGTATAGTGGATACATATTCGCCAAAACCAATCTCTTATTTTCGTTACACCATAACTCTCAATAAATACTATTACTGTTTTACTCTTCACATCTAGAGGTGTTACTTTGAATAGCACCTTACCCACAGCATTAGTGATCTTATAAATTAAAAAAAAAATTGTGACTAAAAAACGGCCGGATTTCTCAATTTGTAATTTTATACAAAATTCATATTTTATCTACAGAATATAAAAAAAATTCCGTAACACCGATATCGGTGGAGCTTTGGTCAGAAAAAAAGATTTTGTGTATTTCTTTTTTTGAAAACAGGTTTAGATTACTCAAAAAATTGAAAAAACAATTTTTATTGTAAATATTTAAAAAATACAAAACTTTCATTGTTTATAATTTTTGTGATACGATGCATCGTCTCCGGGATATGTGTCAAAATAAAAACAACCGAATCCACATAGCACAGCAAATAAAATATAGGTAACTGAAGTCTGACGGAATCGCTCATATATATGTATGTATACATGTATATATGTATGTATATATATATATATATATATATATATATATATATATATTTTATACTTATATATATATTGTGATGACACTTTTTATGATGACACACAAATGAATGGCACCGCGAGAAATAATTAATAAAATACTAAATTATTGGGCGCCAGGTATAACCATAGTTACACAGCTGTCTCCTAAGGAAACCCTGGCCAGCTGTTATGCGGTGATGTCCTGGGTTTGGGAAACAATAATCAAAATCTGAAAATTAGGGAGGTCCACTCTAAAAACTACTGAAATTATTTTATACAACTACGAACTATCGGAACCAAAATCTAGGGACGAATCCGATTTATTTTAAATGGAAAAATATAAGAACAATACGGTTGAATACAAGTGATAAGTACAGAAGACAGATCGAGATGGTACAGAACACACTTGGATATTACTCAAACAACATTATACAATAATGTTCCCGCTGGAACGACGCAACATACGATACGATATAACAAACGGTACGATAACAAATGGCACGATAGTAAAAGGTACGATAGTGACTCACACACCCGTGTGCTAAGGAGATGATACCGCGAGGCGTGGACTGAACAATAAGACACAAAAATGGAAGAATAGAAAGAAGGAAATGAGAGACCGATCTTCTGTTTGTCACCGAATTAGCTATCTTCGGACCGCTAGCGATCAGGAAAGCGTAGAATGACGCGTAAGAGTACGTCGAACAGAAAAAATCGGTTGATCCCGTAAGTTGATAAATAGCCAAGATATCCCTGAGCGCCACACACCGTTGTCCAGTAGCTCCTACTATCCACAGGAACACATTCTCCTGGATTATAGCTCCCTCAAACGAATCACGATACGATACAATAAATCCAAAAATGGGTATAAAATGATAGCATGTCTATCCCTGAGCTAGGCCACGCCGTGAGTGACGCTACAAATTTCCAAAATCGGGAATCTTCCCGACAGCGCGCTGTAATACCACCCCCTGGTCCAATCAGGTTCGCTGTTACACCGGCTCCGCTAGTGAGCTCGCGATCTTCAATTGTTTTGACGATCTCGATGAAATAGATCCTGACATCTTACTAGGTTAGGATGGCTGCAGTGTCGTTTCCAGAAGGCGCGAATCACATCCACCTCTACTCCGTCGATATTCGGCTTCACGCCGCTTGTGCAACTCCTGTATGCCCTCTGATCCTGAAGAAGATCAAGGATCCCGGATGCATCAGGGGGTTGCAGTGGTGGCCTGGAGCCGTGCAACGAGAGATAGGGTGCGAATGTGATTCTCGCCCCGTCAAAAAACACTGCAATTGCCCAGTAGAGGCGAAGATGCTCGGATATGTTTTTCTAGGATCGAAGAAACAACTGAAGATCGCGGGCGAATTGTGCTACGTAGGGGATAGTGCAACTTTGATTGGGCCCAAGGGTAATATTTTATCGCGCCAGTAGGACACGTTAGCGGGGGAGCGTCTGGGTAGCGTCACTTGCGGTGTAGCTAGGATAGTGAGCGGAGTGTCAAACGTGTGTGAAAGAAAATCGTGAGTTAGAGTAAGAGTGAGAGTGAGAGAGAGCGAGGATGGATCGGAGAGATTTAGATGACCTGGAGAGAGCGATTCGGGGTGAGTGACGCTACCGAGCTAAATAATTTTGGAATTGATTGGGATTCACGGGACTATAGATTTAACTGCTGGATCTTCAATCCAGACAGCACGCGTCGCCTTCCGCTTACACAATCGTTGAGATCCGATGCTTGCTAATACGGTGGCGATCTGGAGGATCCCGTATCAAAGTTTCGTTTCTAGTTTTTGATTTGTAATTAGTGAAGGATGTTAAAACAAATTGCATGCACAACTTTCCTGTACAGTCCACACTACGTGTAATAGTTTCGGTCGTGTGTTGAGTAATGTAAGGGCCGCGCAATGGTACTTTTCTCCCGGCGATGAATTCGTAGGTGGTAAGAAGGCAGCTAGGGAATGGCGTATTTCTTGACTGATATTTTCAGTAGGTAAATAGGTTTCCGGAACTGGTTCCGGTCTCGTGATTATTCGTGACGGGATAGACTGCACGTGCTTGGTGACACGCGAAAGATCTAGATTCCCAGCGGGGAATGGAATCTACGGATACTGTGTATTAGATGTCTTGAGAGGAGGTCAAGTACCGGTATTGTTACGACATTCAAAAGGGTAAATATTGTGAAGCTGACGAGAGGGGCAATAGGCTACTTGCCAGCTGAATTAGTAAATATTGCTGCAGCTAAATCCTTGCAAGTGCATTATGTAACACGCGTGTTATTTCCGGAAACGTCTGGAATTCCAGACAATACCTTTGTGTATTGATGCTAGAGGATTCCGATCCGCCTATTCCTTGTCATTATTATTATTCGCGTCGCGTCAGGAATCGTTATTCCTCGTTATCTGAATTTTAAGGGACCGCGAGTTCCTATGCGATTAATTGTTTAAATTAACCATCTATTATATTCCTTATAGAACTGTTATTCGATATTATTATTATTTACGTCTTGTAAGTGGTGGAGAAACCGTTGTTCCCATTCGTGTTTATTCTACGGAACCATTGTTCCACTTATGTTGTTAGTCATCGCTTTGTAAATTATTTTGGAATCGTCGTTCATATTATTATTACATTCATCCTTATTTTTCTTGTTATTAATAAATCGGGCCCGTCTGTGGGTTTCGTTTGAAGCCCATTTTGTATTGTCTTGTTGTTATTACAAATTTGAGGTATTAGTTATTGTCTCCCAAACTCAGGATCCCACCGCGCAAGAGCTGGCCAGGGTGTCCTTCGGAGACAGCGGTGTAACTCTGGTTATGCTTGGCGCCCAATAATTTAATAGTTTCAAATTATTTCAGTTGGTGCCATTTATTTGTGTGATTTCGTCGTCACAGTATACACATATATATACAGAATTATTCAGTAGAACATACCAGCTGAAGTTGGGCCCAAGTGATCGACACGGCAGTGTGGCCTCTCCAAAAAGTAACATCTAGGCACAGCTTACCGTCATTGATTCACATAAGCAATTCCCAGAAATATCCTAACGCTCCTGTGAATCCTTTTAGGTATCCTATTATAGTTCAGTGTTGCAAACAATAATATAGATTTGGAAACGCGCCTACGTCAGAAGAGACGGAATGGCTACGCTGCGACGCGGTACATTCCACTCGCTAATATTATGGAAACAAAGGAGACACATCACCGACACCATGGTGAAATATAGAAACAATCCTTGGGTTATTGTATCTCTAAAAAATTCCATAATTAAGATATAAATAGCGGACGGCCTGTCGGCACGTCAGACGAAGTAAGAGAGCTACGAGTGAAGTGTTACTACGGTAACTTAGTCGAAGTACTAACCTCCAGCCTCGTGATTTCGTACTCACGACGTTTACGGTTTATTTCTAATAGTGTATTCTAACGTAACTTATTTTGTTTCAAATAAATCTTTTACTTGTTATCGACAGTTAAGTTCCAACTTTTTACTCGGGCAACGAATCCCAAAGTACCTGACTCCCCAAAACCCTTTCCGGCAGTCAAGTCCGTGAATCCAGTGTTTGGACTCACAACACCAGAGAGTGATCCTGCTTCATCCCCTTATGCCATTGATTAAGGGAGGGCTGAAAATGAGAAAACTGAACAAACCCATGTCCTCAGATTTCCCAACACTCTTTGGTAAGCCTTTTCTAAATTCCCAGAAATATCCTAACACTCCTGTGAATCCCTTTTAGAAATCCTGAAACTGTCCTGACAGTTATTGCAATCTGGTATAAAAATAAACCTTAACTGATATTACATTTTGTCATATTACAATATTAATATTAAATAATTATTTCAGTAACCTAATTATGAAATATTTCAATAACCTCATATTTCTATGCGAACTGTCATTATGCCCATATGCGAATCTGTGACGGTGAACTGTGCCTAGATGTCACTTTTTGAAGAGGCCACACTACCGTGTCGGCAACTTTAGCCTAACTTTAGCTGGTGTGTTTCCACTGAATAACTCTGTATACAGGGTATCCCAGAATTACTTTAACACCGAAAAGAAGGTGATATATTGAGGTCCCCCGAGTACGCTCCCACAAACCGTTTGTCAAAATTCGCAATAGTTTTCTAATGGGAAGCATTTAAGGTGCACCAATCAGAATGAAGGATTTGCGCTGTACATTCATTCGCAGACTGCCGATATTGGTGCGATGTAACATTGTAAGAACAAATAATTTATTCCTGGCAGTTCCTATTATTGGTTCGCGTCCCACTCACGGCTTCTCGTCAGTCCTTTTTATGAGCGCTGTGCAGACAAATAGACTACTTGTTAGGGGAACTTTAAAACCTGAGTATTTCATTTACGATTCTTGAGTTTTAGATCAGTCATGTGATGAGCAATGAGTGTGGCATTCCACCAGTCTGTGAACGAATGCGTTTGACGCTTGGACCGTAAAACAATTACTAATCGCGCGATCCGTCTGAAGTAGCTAACTTTTGCCTTACACGACTGTACCTCCCATCATGTACTCGGGAGGCCTCCGGACATCACCCACTTTCCGGTGTTAAGGTAATTCTGGGACAACCTGTATATAGTATTGGTATAGATAGAGGCTACTACCTGCTATTATGGTGTCAAGATCGTTAACTTCATTTAGTGTTTTTTCCAATACAAAACCTAATCCTTGTAGGACTTGCCCGGTTACATAACTGTGTACAGATCCTATTGCATGTATTAACCAAAAACGTAAGCATTGCAGGCGTTTAGCATAAAAGTTATCAACTTTGTTGATAATGTTCGTTAATTTTGAACCTTCAAGATCTAATAAAAAATATTTGCATTAAAATCAGTTAATATGTACATGTATAAAGTGAAATAGATAATTACCGCTGAATTTTAAGTTCTCCAATGTCCAAAGAGCCCACTTTAATTTTAGTTGAAATTGAAATAATTCATTATACATTTTAAGTGTTTCTTCATTGAGAAACATGCTCACAGGCCAATCAATTGCATAATGTAACGTTATACCGTCAATAGCTCGCAGAACTTGATACGTTAGAACAGGATCAGTAATAATAGACCAGCGTGAGTTTGACTCGGACCACTCCTGAGAGAGAATTTCTTCAAGAATACTAGTCAAAAAGTTCGAGTTATTCCACGTAGCATTTGTTTCAATCTAAAATAATAATGATGCGGTTACGCAAAACATACAAAATAGTATTCAATTCTAAACGGTATTTCTTACCTCTGTAAATATTATTTTACAGAATTTGTTCATGACGTGACCCATTTCCATCATGTATACACTTCTCACGATCTTCAAGTGTACGTCTAATTTATGTTCCTTTAACATGATATCTTTAACTAGTTTACTTGTTCCACTATATCGTAAAATCAAAATTCTAGATAATGTATTTTTTAAGACTTTTCCGCACGGAAGAACGAATTCTGACATTTTCTTAAGCCTACAACATTATTATAGATTAGTGTTTGGAAAATGTATCAATTTATTATATTCTCAAGAAAGTTGAATGTAAATACTTATAATATATATCATGCTCCAACTGCGCATTTGAAAATTTGTTGGAAATCAACCCATTTATCTTGTCTTTTTGAACCATATTAAAGGGCAAATATTTCTCTAAAGCCTTTATCAGAAATGGATTTTCCATTTTTGTCATTTGTTGTATTATATTCTCTTCGATGTTGGTATCATGTGTACATAATGAGATGTTCTCTGTTGTTACAAATGATAGGGCGATGTCTTTCTCATCGACCAATTTAGAAAAATTGTAATTTGAAAATTCCAATATTATTTCTCTCATTAATTCATCATTCAGTGATACTCTTGTAACTGCAAAAAAAAAACAATTAGGTGTTCAGCGGGGTATAGCTCCCCCTAGAGCGACGCTACAGAGGTGCAGTGGGGGTGTTTTTAGACTGCCGAAGGATTCTCTTTCTTGTGCTATAATTACAAATATGAATTTCTTTCTGTAACTACCAATTATTGCAGTTTTCATAAAGTCCCAAAATTTCACTCCAACCCTTGCCGTTCGGCCATTTTATTTCCGATCGGGATAAACTCTTTACCATTCGAAAGGGAAGGAAATTTCTAAAAAAATGTGTCTTTAGTTTTTCGAAATCGGTTGAAGTTTCACAGAAATATACAAAAATTCAAGTGTTCCACTTCAGTTGGACGTTATTGTACTTCGTCCGTCAAGCTATCGTTCACACCGCATATTCAGATAATATGAAGCTGCCTTTACAACAGTATAAAATTATTAATTAAGGGGCCTGCCCGCTACTAGCGCTGTATTGGAAAGATAATGCGCTTTCAACAAGGAAATTTACGAAATTTTCCATTTTGAGGTTAATGATTTATGGTACATAAACAAATAATTTTTGAAAAATTCACCTGTGAACGAAGTGTCGCCTGGCAATGGATTGGGAAAAAGACGTGGGAGAAAAATGATCCGAAAATGAAATAGATAACATACAAGTGTTCTGAAGACCTTGCGAGCGTACAAGGAATCCTGCCAGAAAGGTTTCAGGAAACGAAGAGGTGGTTTTGGTAAACACATAACGTGAAACGTAATACACAAACGTGAAACATAATTGAAAGGATTAAGCGTTTTAATTAACACATCAAAAGAGATTTCTAATAACTGGGAAGACAAATTGAAACAAATAGTGCCCCTTTAATGAGAAATTAGATGCAGGGGCATAGGGGTGGTTCACCCCCTTAAACGACGTTTTTCCGAAAAACACAAAAACATGTATCTCCTACTACTTTTAGTACTTTCAAATACAATTGCTTTCAGTAGTATAAGTTAGGGAGTTCTGGAACACGATTCCTGTAACCGAAATATACCGACACTCTAGAATCTTCGAAGGTGAGTGTCCGTGCTAAGTTGCCGTCGTGACCTCTATGATTTCCGAAATTGACGTCACTAAGACCCCTATTTTCTATGAATTTATGGGGGATTCCAGGAATTTTGAGTCATGTTCTGAGAATTTTGCGCTCGATTCTAGGAATCGCACACAATCGAGAACCTTCTAGAACATTCTAGAACCTTTCAGAAGTTTCGACGGTTCGTGTCCGTACTAAGTCGCGGAGAATAGCTCCCAGAGCCGACGGTCCTCTCGCGCGACGTTTTGATTGAGCCCCTTGCCCCCCACCCCGGGGAGCCTTCTAGAAGCTTCGATGAACCCCGTTTCTCCCTCCCGATCCGTGTAGATTTCAGACGGCAGCCTTTAGTCGTTTTGACCTTGAACGTTATCTCGCAGTATTGCGCATCGAGTATGCAGCAGCAGCAGCATCGATTCCAGGAAATTTGTCAACTCTCGTCAGCCATTCGATTCCAGGAAACCTCCATGCAGTTATCGAACGGCAGCCCCCCGCCCCGAAGCTTTCAATGACTCCCCCGACCCCCATGCAGACTTCAGGCGGCAGCCGGACACTGTTTTCATCTTGTTATTCAGGGTATCGAATTACTCGCAGACGATAAGCGACCCTTTGTGCACTTCGGAAACTTTTCGATGTAGAGTTCGAACTCAAAGTGCGCAATTCGGGTAGGTGTCTTATCGCTCGAACCGATGCAAAACAATTCCAGGAAAACCTTGACACCTTCGTATAAAAGACCCTTCGATGGTGCACAGTGATCATTATTTGTTAAACCTTCAAGTGCATTATTGGTATTGACGAGATGGATTCTACAAAGTGTAAAAAGTCGATCGAGATTATGGAAGGAGCATAACAACTTCTGAAGATGGGATCATCGATTGCAGAAATTGAAAAATGGACAAAATTTGGCACTTAAAATATCAGACTTTTGTATAAAATTTTGAGAAATGTTACTCTTACAATCGGAGAGAAAACCAAAATTTTAACAACGATCGGAATCCTCAAATCTCGAAACGAAAAATTTAAACAACTTCAAAAAAGAGGTGGAGGAACAGCGAAAGAGAGAAGAAGTGACAGAGTGCATTGGGATGACTTGGAATCTACCTTTAAAGGAAGAATAAGGACTGAAGTCATTGTAAATTTGCGACACAAGGACTTGGACCGTTTCTTGGAAGATTCCAGAAAATTGTTTACTGCGAGAATAAAAAACGCACTTCGAAAGGATGGAAATTTGAAAGTGAACGTCGTCTTGTCTTGTAAATTTGAGACCATCAAAGCTGGCGAGATTGTCGAAGAACTAAAGTTCTTCAACACTAAAAACGAAGTTATTCTACCAACCACCGATATCAGCGACTGGTTTAATACAAATGTGAAGGAAACGTTACTAGCTAAGGTTGAGAACATTCAAGAAAGGGAATCAGGCGGGTCATTGGTAGAAATTATAAACTTAGCAGTAAACATCAATAGATACTGTGACGAAAATTTCTTTTTAAATTATAACCAAATTTGATTACTCGAGCTATTCGTAGCAAAACAGCTGATTTTCCGTCGACAAATTATAAACCTCTATCCCCCTGTAATACGATGCAGAAAAAGACCGATTGGGCACCAGACGCACCTTTGCGTCACGATACGAAATCTGCAAAATAATGCTAGAAGGGACGGAGAAAGTGCCACCGACCAGCACAGATAATTCGCGAGATGGTAGAGGGGCAGGGATCACCGAGGTGTTGGTAAGGGAATTGATTAGGAGAATGAGAACCTCGGAATAGAAAACAATAACAGATGTCCTTTTATTTACGACGATTGAGAATTTCAACAATTAACAAATAATAATTTCGAAACAGGTCAAATAAAGGTAATAGATAACAATTTAGGCAAATCAAACAAAATCTAAAGTAATTCTTTTGCGAAACTTTCGTATACGATACATGAACTCCCGTGAAGCGGGACACACGCGACGCTACGTGAAGTCTCGGGAAGCGAGACAAACACGATACACTACACGTGTCCTCGTGAAGCGAGAACTCGCGGATTCTTTCTGTTAGGTCTCCAGGGTCACGAGACTTTCGCGCTAAGAGAATATTACAAAATCAAGAAATAATAGTTCACTAAAGAAATATAGGCGATACACAGAATCTTTTCCACGTTAGCGATACTGAAATCATCCATAGGCTAAGGCCCTGGGAAAAACGCGAACACGAAAACAATAGGAAAGATAGCTGTATGGAAAAAATTTCGTGACTCGTTATAAGATTCTTACCGGTATTATTGAAACTACTGATGATACAAAATTCGCACCCGACCACGATGGTAACTCAGACAAGAATGTTCTACACGCAAAGTTCACTGTAGAGCTGGGACTCGCGTCCCCACCAACAATCAAAAGTAGTGCTCTTAGATAGCCAATTAGATCCTCGGGAGGATTTACAATACTCGTATTACTACGCCGTTACAAAAGTCTTGCCGTTGGACTATTCCTCGATAAAACACACGATATAATACTAGAGTGACATCTGTGGCTCAATCGCCTTACCCCTACGAGACGGACTTCGACAATATTCCGTAGATGCCGGAGCCTTCCACTGAGAAACGATACATAATACTCGGAAGGACAGCGTAAATTAAAAGTTCCAATCGCGGACTAAACGCAACACTTTGACATCCTGGTCGTAAGTTCGCTAGCCACGCGGAACATAGTCACAGCCTCGCTGGCGTAGCTCGGGGTGTCCAGTGGACTCTGGCGACGATCAGATTCCAACCCTGTCCTCAACAATAGTGGCTGAGATCCTGATGACTTCGGTAGGTCTGGTCGTTTCTGCCTCCTATGGCAAGCCAGTTACGGTGCCTCCACGCAGGGGCCCGTTGATCTTCAGCACGAGGGGTCTCGCAGAACTCGAGACCTCCTCGTCTTCGTTACTAGTCCCATTACTAGGGACTATCGGTATTGACGATATAAAACGATAGGTAGGGTGGAATCCATGGCGCTGTCCTTTTGAGTTAACCCTCCGTCTTCTTTGTCGGGTAGGGTCCCTTATAGGGTGGAGTCGTCAGGTCGACACGGCAGCTCTCCACGATCCTCGGCGTAAAATCTGCTTATCCTCCTTCGTGGGCTTCCAGCTGTCCGGATGGCTCGGTTTCGGTGAGATGGTTGTGACGTATGAAATATTTGTATACGAAAATATTAACTTAACGTTCCCTAATACCTATGACCCTGGAGCTCCTGGCCGGTTGCGTAACATTTATTGGAAAAAGGGACGTAAATGCGTCCCGAAATTGAAAAACGGAAGTAACCAATACGGGACTTTTGTGACGTCCAAAAATAACCTCACAATACACACCGATACACGGTGGCCTATCAACATTAATCGAGTTGCCTCAGAACGTCCAAAACAAGAAAGCAGTCGTGAACATTAGAAATAACGATCCGTATTGTTTTCTCTGGTCGGTTACGGCAGCCCTTCATCCAGCAAAAGATCATGTAGACAGGATCAGTTCGTACCCCCACTTCAGCTCAGTGTAAAGGTACGAAGGATTAAATTTTCCCATTGGCTTAAAGGACATTTCGAAATTTGAGAAGATAAATGATTTGGTAATTAACGTTTACGGTATAAAGTGTGATAGTGGTCATGACATAGTACCAATTTACCTAAGTCAGCAAAAATCAAACAAGGAAGCGATTCATTTACTCATGTTGAAATCAACAATTTATTCGAATGGAGATGACGTGAACATAAAAAACGGTAATGTTTATCAACTTGCTTGAATTCGAAATCTATCCCGCTTACTAAGTTCACAAATTTCAAAGCATCATGGTTTTAACAGACTGTATGACAGATGTCTATGTCACTTTAGATTAGAAAGCTCTTTCGAAAAACATAGAGTCGATTGTGCAAATATAAATAAATGCAGAGTCGTATTACCAGATGAATAAGATAAAATTATGAAATTTAAAAATTATAAGTATAAAGAACCTGTCCGTTTGTCGTTTATGCTGACATCGAGTGTACATTAGAGCCAATTACGGATAAGTCTAACTCGTTAAACACAACTCTCTATCAAAGACATATTCCACACAGTATAGCGTACTATTTACAATGTAACTTTGACGATTCTATCCCCAAATTTAAAGTTTATCATGGAAAAGATTGCGTGAAATGGTTTATGTATCAATTAAAGGAGTTAGCTCAAATTATAGAATTTTACCTAAAACATATCGTACCAATGGAATCTCTAAATTTCAAATAAAGAAATAAATTTTACTCGGCCAACATTTGTCGTATTTGTGAAAAACCGTTTACATCTCAGGATGCCAAGCATCGTGATCATTGCCATTTTACAGGCAAATATCGCGGTGCTGCACATCAAGGATGTAATTTGAACTATAAGAACTCACATACCGTCCCTGTCGTATTTCATAACTTATCTGGTTATGATTCACACTTCTTCATTCGAGCTCTAGCTAGATCTTTTGAGGGTCCAATGAATCTCTTACCAGTAAACAAAGAAAGATATATATTTTTCACGAAGAGCGTCAAAGATACGATTGTAAATTATCGATTTACTGATTCGCTTAGATTTATGCCGAGTAGCATTGAACAATTAGTATCTTATTTGAAAGATGATCAAAAACTAATTATGCGTAAACTTTGTAATAATGTAAAGGAATACGAATATATTGATAATTGGGAAAAACTCAAAGAGGATCAATTACCCGTAAAAGAAGAATTTTATTCAAAATTAAATAACGAAGGAATTTCAGAAGCAGATTATGATCACGCTTGCAATATTCGGCAAACTTTTTTCATTAAAACATTAGGTGAATATTCTGATTTGTATCTGAAAACCGATGTTCTCCTTCTAGCTGATATCTTTGAAAATTTTAGACGCAAGTGTTACGCCATATACAATTTAGATCCTATACACTATTACACTGCACCGGGCCTTGCTTTCGATGCTATACTCAAGCGTACGGGTGTTGAACTTGAACTGCTGACTGATGTAGAGATGTTGTTGTTTATCGAGAGATGTATCCGAGGTGGCGTAGCTCAATGCTCCAACAGATACGTCAGGGCTAAGGATCTACATTAAAAATAATTACCTTTGATAATTATATTCAGTGTCTTTTACATCACTAAACTTTAATAAAATATCAGAATTTAATTCAGAGTAAAAAACATAAAGTTTATACCGTACAACAGAAAACAATAGCACTGAGCTGGAATGACGACAAAAAGGTCATTCTTCCTGGTACGACCGACACCCTTCCATGGGGTTATTAACTGTAACATATACATATTGTGACGTACCGGGCCACGAAAATGGCCCAGGGTCTCGCAAGAACAGCTATCGCAAATACAGGGCGGAGGGATCTCGAACAGAAAAGGGAACACGTGGTAAAATAGAAAAGAAAATAATTAACAAGTAAAATGCCAATACAAAGAAGAAGAGAATAGAAACGAAAAGATGCTCAAAAAGAAATTAGAATTTAATACAATAGAAAACTAAACCGCTCCGAACACGCTAAACTAAACAATGACACGTGGGCTCACGCAGGAGCAGGCGGTGTCACACCGGACCTTTAAACGGACTAGTGGGCGAGGGGAATCAGGGAACGAGGGAGCAGGGTATTGGCAAGGGGGCAGGACGGACAGGAGAGCTTACCGGCAATAGATATCTCGAAAACAACAAATGGGCACCAGCTACTTGTTCGGCGTAGCACCGTCGAGTGACCTCAGAAGGTCCTCGAATATTTACTCTAACGCGACATGACACGGCTAGCAAGGGAGGATGTGAGGGGGTCTCAGGGAGGAAGGTTCCCGAACGCGATAATGGCTACTTACAAATACCTCGGGTTTTACAATATTCAAAAACGGCGGGTAAGGGAAAGGGCACGGGGTTTTCCAAAAGGAGTGCAAGATACTAAGTTAGAACGCACGCAATATACCACTAGCCGCACGCGGTTGGCGGAAGGCCAGACTAAAACTCAAAAAGATAAGCTACGCAAAAAGGCCGGTCCCCGTGGGGACGGCTCGCCAAATCCAAAAGGGGAAATCCACGATCCATTAAAACGCAAACGCAAAGGGGGGTAGGGAAAAAAGGGGGGAAATAGGGAAAACTCAATCACTCAATACTCACGCAACGATTCCGCAACACTCGATATAATCCAAATTCGCAATTATCCCACTCTCACTCGCAATTTCACAATCCGCAAAAAGCTCACTCTATCACTCTCAATCCCCTGGCTCGAAGTGGTAAAATTTCCGGTCGCTCTGGCCCTCGTGGGCCTCCAGAGCCTCGGTGATTGGCTGGGGCTGCTCAGCTGAGAGGGCTATGCGCTTTGGCATTGGTCGGCAGTTCCGACATGGCAGGGCATTGGTCCTTTTCATATCTTGCGGAGTTGCCGGATCGTCCAGGGTCTCGTGTGGGCGGCACGCCGCTGGCTTTGCCGGCGCGCAGGCTGGCTGCGCGCACCGGGGTCCGCGCTCCCGGGCACGTCCGCGGTTTCGCAGAGAGAGGGCTCCACCGCTGTCACACGGGACTTTTTCCTGTCCGTGTGACGGGACTGCACCGGGGCTGCATCTCGGTGGCGAAGGTGGCGGGCTGGCGGGTATCATCCCACGGGAGGCTCGATCAGTTGTTCCTCCTGTTCATGCCATTCCTGCCTTCCGTTGCCTCGGCAACGTAGCCACTTTCTCGGTCCATCCAGGGATGATGTGTCCTCGTAGATGGTTCACGGTAGCGGTCCTCGATGATGGTGTTCGAGCCAGTGCCCTACGAGAAACGGTGACAGGGAGGGAAGGGTGGAGGGAGGGGATCTTAACTCTAAATACAACAGACCTAAAACACTAAATAAACGCAATAAACAGCAATTCCCAATACCGTACGCAATACTCGTGCTCGGGGCCAGTGGTGCCCTCGAGCCAGGTGGTGGGGAGGAGTTCATTGTAACATTTTTGTTACAATATATACATTGTGACGTGAATTTTTGACAATCCACGCCACAAACGACCTGCAAGA